GAATGAAGCGAGAGACAGAGTTTTTAACTTAAGAATGGTGGCCTTTACTAGAAGCATGAGAAAAATACAGACATCCATCCAAAATAGGAAGTCCATATGCTAAATAACCCTAGAGAAGATATTTTGAATCCATGAAAACCTGTCATTATGTCGTCAAACTTAGTGTTGACCTAAGTAGGGGAGTTAGTATCCCAAATCTTAATGGGTAAAAACAAGTTAACAGTATTGTTTAAGACAGTGATCTGATTTAAAATTTTATATGACATTGAGCTAACAATAACATTTTTAGGGATCTTTTGTCAAAATAATATTTGTGTATAAAAAATCAGTTGTATGGACATACTTAATAATTTAAGTAAAATTAGCTCTAATAATCATGTATAATTTATGGTTTTATCGATTTCAAAAATATCAATGTTTGTAGGGCATTGTCTCATATTAAGGTTGAGAAAAGGTCTATCATGTTAACTTTTTATCGAAATATGTTATTGGCTGTTGAGCTGATTGATTTATGGCTGTCTATCTAATATTTTAGGGATAACTATTTTTGGAGTCATTTTTTCTCAGTGATAAGCTGTTGACAAGGCCTCAAAGTAAGGCCCTGTTTTAATGTTTTGAGGCTTCTAAAATCTGTTTATAACTTGGAAGAGGAGTAAAATTTTTAACCAGGAAGCTTATTTTTCTTGGGGTAGGGTTAGCATTTTAATCTCAGTCTGTCTGACTGTGGCCTTTCCTTTCCTTCATTTGGTCTCCAAACTTGGTTAGGATGACGTTAACCTTTGGAAATCCCTTGGAATGTCTAGGGCTAACTGGATGATAAACTCACCTTTAGAAAATGGGTGGCCCCCTATAAATCTAAGGTGTTGTACTGTCTTTTTTAGTCTCTCTATGAAAATAGTAGGATTTTTCTAAAGGCTTACTAAAATTATTTTGTAGGCATTTTGTTTACATGATGGATGTCTGTTTGGGGGAGTTGTCTGTGCTCCAAACTGTCAGGCTTGTCCCTATGTTGTGTTACTGGGACACAATTAAGATAAATCTCCTTTAAAATTGTTTTTAAGATGGCCCTCTATTTTTAAAGTTTAGCTAAGTATCTCTCTAGATAAGGTGAGATGTTTGGCATAATGTTGAAATAATATGTGAATTTGGAGTTCTCAAAAATCTCCCTGAATTTGTTTTGGTCTATATTAAGTTTGAGAGGTTCCCTTTGATCTTTCTAGTAGGTATTTTTAAGTCTTCTTGCTAGTAGTTGAGACTAGATATGAAAATGAGATACCTTTTATTGATTATTATAATTTCCCAGTATAGAGATTAACTGGTCCATCCTAACAATTTAAAAAGAACTCTCAATCTCTTTCTGAGACAAAGTCTCAAAATATCTTTATATCTCAGAATATTATCCTTTAAATAGGTGTCTTTTAATTGTCTTTTAGAAAATATGCCCAGTGTATGGAGCAATATACAAGTCTTACAATGTTTCATGGATTATAGGTCCATTCAGACAACTTATGTAATACCAATGAATTTCCAACAAAATTTGTAACTTTCATTGTTCAAAACTAATGTGCGACTTTAATTTGGAGAACATCAATTCCAATAATAATAATAATCCAATCTCCCAAATCCCATAAACATTCAATGATGTCTTGAATCAATCAATTTAGTCTCCAAGGAGAAGAGTGAACATTGGAATTTAAGTGAGCATTTTAAAATATTTATTGTTTAATGAAAGATGTCAATTTATTCACTAAAATTAATCCTTGTCTTAAACATTAAGAATCATTAGGCAAATGAAGACCTTACTTAATGGAAATGAACTTAACAATTTAATAGGTCTTTATCATGTCAAAATATGAACAAAATCTTGGTTCATATTAGTATAATAAAATCAGGGGGAAAATTCTGAAATATCCTAGAATTAATCAGTTCAAATTATTATAGTCAGTCCAGTTATACATAAATCTGTTTTTTAATTGTTTTAACTTTCTATATCATCTATCTAGATAGTGATATAAGATTTCTTTATTTAGGAAAATTATTTTATCATTAAAATCTAGAATATAAAGACCTTATTTTACCCAAAGATGATTATTTTCTTCTTCGTGGGACCTCCAGTGTATGCTTCCTCTCTGTGGAAGTATCTTCTTCTCCTCTTAGGATTGTTTTTTTTATTTTGGTTATACTTTGGAACAATTTCTGTAAACCTTGGAACCTAAACAAATTATTGAACCTTGATAAGAAGAAATACCTCAATAAAAATATAGTTAAAGCCCTTGGACATTTCTATAGACAGAATCATATTTGTTTATCATCTTATAAAAGTTTGTACAATAATTTGAGAATTAGAGTTTACTTGATAGTTGAAAGAAAAAATTTTATAGTAAAATACATGTATCTCAAATATCTGTAACTATAAAAGGCAGAGCATCAGATAAATGCATGTATAAGAAATATAAATTATGTGTTTTCTATTGAAGGAAAATGATTAGAAACAAATAGATACAATTAATTAAACAAATAGACATATAAGTTAATTATTTTATAAATTAAGGGCTATAGGTAATCCAAATAATAGGAAACATATGCATTAAGAATAAATGTGGGGAGGCTGGGGTTGTGGCTCAGAGGTAGAGTGTCCACCTAGCATGCTTGAGGCACTGGGTTTGATCCTCAGAACCATATAAAGTAAAATAAAAACATTGTGTCCACCTATAACTAAAAAATAAATATATTTTTTAAAAAAAGAATAAGGATATAACCTACTATTATACAACCATGGAATTTTTAAATAAGCCCCATTAAAATATTTAAAGCCATTTATTTTACTTTGGACTAGTAGTGCACTTTTTATATTTGTGACATCACATGATGTGGTTAAAGTAAAATCCTTGTGTAACATTTACTTATTTTTTTATAATTATATAGTCAGGCATGAGAAGAATAAGGATTTCTTGGTCATCACAGGAACATTGTGAGAAAAGGTCTCAGAATGCTGGTTTTTGTTCCTGTGGAGAGAAAATGCATCCTCATAACCTCCAAATATAAAACATAAGCAAGCCTATGTATCTCTTATAATTGTTATATTACTTCTGCAATTTTTCTTAATAATATAGCTATAAAGAATTTCTAAGGAAACCTTTCGAAGGATAAAAATCATGTTAGGATTAGGGCAGCAACATAGAAGCCTGTGAAATTAGGTTTTGCCTGAAAAATATATCTTTCCTTGGTATTTATAGGTGGGCATGCTTAGAAATTCAGGCTCTGTGTAGGTTTGGTAGTGGACCTGTGTGAAGTAGGAAATACAGGTTGGGGCTGGACCACAGGACTAGAAGCCTGTCTGACAGTGGAAGGACCAATGGGGAGCCCATGAAAATGCAGGAGGCAGGATCAGGAAGCCATCCAGGCCTGGGCAGGCTGTGCGGTTACCATGGTGATGGAACAGCATGGAGCCGGTGGGCGTGGCTATTGGGACCAGCTGCCTGGTTCACCTTGTGGGCAAGGCTCCTGGAGCTTCCCCCTTATGGCTGAGAGGACCTAGTGACCCCTGGATTCATACATTCTCT